TATTATTATTATTATTATTATTATTATTATTATTATTATTATTATTATTATTATTATTATTATTATTATTATTATTAACACGCTCTGATGCTAAGGAGATCTACTCCCCCTCCCCACCTGAAAAAAAATCTCTTCCAAATGCAAAACACAAGCAGAGGAGTTTCAGTTTCACAGCAGCACCCAGCAGCTTTAGGACAGAACCAGTTGAGCTAAGCCACGCCCAGACTCCTTGCTGTCTCCTCCTTGGTCACACAGCAAATACTGTTTCAGTTTCCAAACAGCCCTCCACTCTCTCACCCACTGACAGGACGCTAGCCAGATGAATACCAATGGATGCGGATAGGCAGAGGCAGCATTTCCCCCCCCTTATTTTCCTCCCAAAAAAACTAAGCCCCACCACATAGTTTCGTAGGGAAGCACGCCGGGTATCCAGCTAGTAAATAAATAAACCTCCCCTTCAATTGCAGCCCAAAGAACGACGGGATATGTAGGTGGAATCTGTTCCTGGCCTACTAAACACCTCCAGATAGTTTTAACCTCCTCCATGCAAACTCCACTCCGGATTATTTGGGGCTGGGGGGGGGGCTGGGGTGTGCCGAATCCTAAACCATCCCTAGATGGCAGCAGAAGGGCACCCCTAAATCCTAACCCTTTGATGCTTAAGCGAGGCTGACCTGGTTTGCCACCCTCCCTGGAGAGCCTCCTTCGACCAGCCAGGCGCGGCTGATGTTTCTTTCTTTCTTTTTTTTTAACCGGCAGATGGAAGGTTGACGCCGCGCTTCGCCAGCTGCTGAGCCGCGGTGAAGTCGAGAGCTCACAGCTCCTACGTGCAGCTTGTGCCGCCCGCCGTGTGTGCAAAAGAGACAGCGTGCAAGGAGACACCGAAAGGCCGCGGCTGCTCTCCCTCCGGCACAGCGTTCCCGGCGTCTTGCCTGCGAGGAAGCGACTGGTGGGATGCCGTTGTGCCAGGAGGGGGTACAGATGTTCAGAAAGGGTGTTTTGTTTTGGACAGACCTGCCTTCTCTCTCTCTCTCTCTCTCTCTCTCTCTTTCTTTTTCCTGGGCAAGACTTGAGTCTCTTCGCTTGGCCTCTTCGTGTCAGCAAGGGAATCAGAATAGAGCTTGGAAGGGACCTTGGAGGTCTTCTAGTCCACCCCCCTGTTCAAGCAGGAGACCCTATACTATTTCAGACAAGGTTGTCCAGTTTCTTCCTAAAAGCCTCCAGTGATGGAGCATTCACAACCTCTGGAGGCCACTTCTGTGCCACTGATTCATTGTTCTAACTTTTAGCAAGTTTCTCCTTAATTCCAGGTTGCTTCTCTCTTTGATCAGTTCCTGTCCATTTCTTTCCTTCCTTCTTTCTTCCTTTCCTTCCTTCTGTCCTTCCTTTCCTTCTTTCCTCCCTCCCTTCCCTCCTACTTCCTTCCTTCCCTTCCTTCTTCCTTTTTTCCTTCCTTCCCTCTGTCCTTCCTTCCTTTCCTTCCTTCTGCTTTCCTTTCCTTCTTTCCTTCCTTCCCTTCCC